CCCAGGGGCAGGTTCATGATGAGATTTGTAGTTTAACCACAGCTAGAGGGCCAACGTCTGCCTTCCACTGCTATATAGCTATGTACTGTATGGTTGACATTCTGTGCAGAGCCAGTCCACATAGTCTGTGAAGGAAGTGTCATACTACAATAAGGGTAAAATAAGTGATTTTATTGTAATTATTAATTCCTTAACAGTTGTTGTTTATATTATTACAGATATAATCCCCATTGTGCGAAGCCATAAAATATCTTCGGCTCATTGAGCATAATCCTTGTTTTATATGTTCGGTATGTATTTTACGATGTATATAAATAAAACTGACGTTAGATATTTTAATATTGCATACTTTTTTATTCTGATACCTTAAAAAATTCAATTTTCCTTAACTGCAAGTTTATATTTCAATCTCTTACAGAGACATCCATTCTTGTGTCCTTCAAATGTATATGACTATGTGGACTGTATGGACCTGATGAGGTTCAGTGAGGAGAAAAATAGCCTACTGCTCCAAATGTTCTAGTCTAGCTGAAACACATTTCTACAGATTTCTTCCACTGTCATCCTGTGGACAACTCATTCTGAAATCATAGACAGAAGACACCAGGAATGACACCACAGAGACATTTCTCTATCTTTTAATGACTCCTGTGCTGCTATCATAAGCTGCAATTTTTTACCTGATTCTGATACTGGATAAATGTGGAGCGCATATGCTAAAAGTTCCCTTCCTATTTCTCTGTAATGAAAGCTTCTGGTTACATTGAGATTCTCCGGCACGTTGTGATAATTACCACTTCCTATGAAACCATAATCCCCAAACTGTCAGGTTTTTGGGAAGTAAATGACTCCACAAAGTTACAGAAAATCTGACTGAATGTGATCTTAGTAAACCCACTTCTGTCTTAAGCTGGCCATATACCACTAGAACTAAGTTAAAAAAAAGAAATTGCTTTTGTAATGTTCATTTGGGGTCAAATTGAACATTGTTTTTGACTGTAGAAATGAGAAAAGTCGAAGGAGCAGGATTCTAACAGTGTCTTCATGTGTTTTTTGTTCGGGTAACACCATTAATGTCCAAAATAGAATGTTAAAATCAAACAAAATTTTCAAACAGCATTCATCAAGTCTCTGATTTTATCTTTATATTCATTTATTATTTTAATCTCTTTCCGCATTGTTATCCATTTTCAGTGCAGAGATAAGCTCAGCACAACATTTCACAAGATATGCAAAGCTAGTAGGTTTAAAGCCCTTGGATGATTATATTCTCTTCCACCTCAAATCTGTTGGCTAAAATGGTAATCTATGATCTTCGATTCTTACGTCGGTAATTCACACCAGATTACCATATATTTTGCTTACCTTGCATGCTACAATTTGGCACTGTGACCTATGCCCTTCCATGCAAGCCAGTTCAAAGGGGGTCCTTTAAATATGATGTAATCTATCTGATAATATATGGCATTGCTTACACATTATTGTATGCTTTTTCATGAGAAATTAGCTCACTGTTTTTCAGATAAATGATAGCTGTAAGTTTCTAAGGTCAGCAATGCTGTAACATATTGATTTTAGGTTTTTTTAAAAAAACTCTTTTATGCAGTGAGAAATTGTTTCAGGAGAACTGCATGTTTAGCAGTGCTGATGAAATATGTGAGCCATATGTTCTGCTGCACATTGGAAGAGAAGGAATAAAATCAGTTCAGTCTGTGCATGCAGCTTTTTAGCATTTTCATCTGGTCTTCTACACAGTACCAGCTACGATCAAACGATGCCATCCAGTCCTTTGCTTCTCTTCATCTTTACAAAATAGATATACCAGATTAAATTCAAATTTACAGCAAAGGCTGGAGACATGTCATTTTTTTCTCTCAAGAAAAAACTGCTCTTATGTGAAGTATTAAAATTAGCAAAGTAACTGTTATCATTTTCTAAAAGCTCTACTTCTGTCCCTGTTTTGTGGAGATAGGCAGCTACAGATTTTACTTATGTGCCAAACGATGAATACGATGGATATAACCCTTGTTTTTTCTTTGAAAGGAAAAGTCTAAAATGTAGAATAAATGTAGCAATCAGGGTCATGGGTATTGGCTCTCTTGTTCTGTATAATATAAAAATGTGGAGGTTGATGTGACACCAAATAGGCAATATAAAAGATTGCAGGAGGGCTTCTCTCTGAATTCCAGCCACCAACATTGGGTGTTTTAATAATTATTTTCAATCACAAACGTTTGTACAGTTCTTGTACAGTACATCTGATATTTTTCATCTGGCAGGAATCATGGTAGCTATTTTAAAAACACTGGGGGACATTTATCAATTTTGTTGCAAGGCAAACTAGTGCTAAACAGGGGCAGTGAGACAAATTGTGCAACAGATTAATTATAAGATTACAGTAAGAGTCACAATATCCCTCCTCAGCTGCTCTAGGGTATCACTGCAACAAAATAATACCTGACCCTAACCACATCTTAATTATGTGACTGTTTAGAGTGAAAATCTGCCAAATCTTCAGTAATAACGCTGTGTAAACTTTACAAACTGTTGTACTTGGCTGCTCAGAAAAACAGTTGCAAACTTGTCGCAGAGAGTGAGAGGCGGCCTGATTTGGGACTAATTATGTTGCTAATGTGCAGTGTATTTTCCAAGCAGTATTTTTTCCCTCCAAGACTATAGAAAAATATTTCTGCAGCACAAGACTGTAAGGTGCAAACTGTGTTCCATAATTGCCCCATACACATAAAGGAGTCTTTAGAAAGCAGTGAATGTAACTTTCACCAACCATTCACTGGTAGAGAATCAATCACGGTCATTTAAAAAACATGCACCTAGAAGATTTAGTGAATGCAAAATTCACTGCATTATATATATGCCCCATAGTCTATTAATAAATGTGTTTTTTTTACCCAAGATTCATACAACTTTCACTCAGAATTCACACATTTTCCTGTCTGTCTTTTTTAATTTTTTTATTCTTTCGTTACCTATTCGATAACCAGTGACTGTTATTTCACCTGATGAGAATGCAACCTGCTGTTGTACTTTTTGTTTGTGTTGTTATGTAAGGATCATTCACAATGACTATCTACAATTGTTTACATTGTGTCAGTGGAAAAATGTTGTACTTACGCATGCTATGTATATGGGCATTGGTCTTTATTTTCGTGTTTTGTTTGGAAAATTTGAATAAAACTTGGTTTAAAAAAAAAAAATCACACATTTTCTAAATTAATCTATGTATGAATATAACGTGTGAATGTTGGGTAAAGGTTGTGTGAGTCTTGCGTGACATCTCAGTGTAAACCTTCAGACACCATGTTTGTCTAAGAATTGTAACTTTAGGCCACTGGTGTGGTGCTCTCTTTCTACTGAGCCAATGGGATATAAATGGCCAATATTCATCTGTAAGCACTGTTGAGCTTCTCTGTTTTTGTTGGTAGTGCTGCTTAGCGGCTTCTTTTCCGCTCCAATAGCACTTGGCTATATCAGTTGGTAACAAGTGGATGCTAATAGTCTTTCATCAGTAACAGGCAAGGTTGCCACATGCCAGGATGATCTTGGCTAAGACTAATCAGCAAGGTTCAGCCTGCATGCCTCATGGCTCCAGCTTCACAGACAGGAAGGCTGGTGTAGGTGCAGACTGACCTAGCAAAGAGATAAGAGATGGATGCTGCTATGTGGACATCAGATGTCAGCGTCTTCTCTTCTAGACATGCTAAGAACAGTAGCAGCAAAGGTAGCTTATACCACATCAGCAAGATAAGACAAGATAAAATTACTTCTGGTGGCTAAGTGTGCAGATTAATTGACCATCTGACAGCATGACTGATGGGCAGTTTACATATGCTTACGTAAGAATAATACAAATTCACATCAATTCAAATGTTTGACCTAAAAGTCACTGTGGAAACACGTCTCAAATTTTGGTCCGTTGGTGACCCAATTCCCTCAAACGAAGTTGATCATTAGATTGACTTTTGCCAAAGGAACACTTTGGAAATTCCTCAACCGATCGGTGCTAATAGCCAATCAGCTGCAAGCACTTCTTCGGGTATTCTGACAGCGACTGGTGCCGCTCTCAGACTACAAAGCTCACAGTGGGAGATTCACAGGTTGAACAAACCAAAAAAATATGATAGTGTATACCCAGCTTTATACTATCTTGATATCATAAACATTATTTAATGATAATTCTGTACATAAATGATCAATTGAGTCCAAGTGGAATGGCTCCATGACAACTGTCATACATACTGTCTTAACCCACACTTCAACACATAGAGCCTGTTCACATCACTTCCAGCATGGTTAGCTGCTGGAATGCACTGGATCACATTAGAAAATCCTCCCTGCGTTCTGGGGTGGGGGCATGGCAGTGCATTTAAGTCAATGGCACCGCAGTCACTCCCCCCCCCCCTCCAGTGCGATCAACTGCACCAGAACACATGGCACATTAATGCCTGCGTTCCTATACAGTGTAATCGCAAAAAAATTTGCTTGTATGTTTAGCTGCTGGAACGCACTGGAAACATTCTTTCAGGGCCATAGATACTTGACTGCAGATCACTTACTTTCCCAATGCAAGGTGAAAGTGATAGCTGGCTATGCCTAGTGAGCTCTGTAGTTGCTAATTGTAAAACCAAACCTTGCTTTTTAGTTATGTTTTAAGGATTTCTTGCTATAAAGAAATACCAACTGCATTAAACATTTCAATACACATATTCAAAACAATCCTCGGCTAACCACTTCTAGCTATTAAATACACCCCTTTAATTTGTACAACTGATTGATGTAACTGGATGTAACCACAACATTGTGTTCGCAGGAGTTAATTAAATCAAGGTGCAGATAATTGATAGTAAACGTAAAACATTTCCCAAGGCTAGCGTGTGACTGGCTGCAGTGTCACTCATTGGCTCATTTCTAGACACACACAGCAATGGTCGAAACTTAAATCTAAACCAACAACTCTCTGGAGCGCAAATGTGAAACTTTACCTCAGGCCTCACATATATCACTGTTGCCCAAAAGCTGCATCGCTGACTGAGAACAACCAACTACAACGAAACACCACAGAGAAATAAAAGTTAGGGAAACAAGCAAGATGAAACTCACCACATAAATCACAAAATGCAAATAGACAGCAACATTTCCATATTAGTGTTATCTTATTTGCATCACAGAACATGGTGTATTATGCCATGTGGCGTTACCACTCAAATGCTGCAAACCAAATATTAGCACGAGGCTGCATAGCTGTCTGCTCCCAACTTTACCTTGATCCACTGGCAGAGCCCCAAATCAACAAGTACCTCTGAATATGGGGCACATATGGGGCTTATGCTACAGCACACAGGCAGCTTGCTTAGCCCAGGGCAAGTCACAAATATAAAGTTATATAAGAATTTAGGAGGTATCAGCAGTGGATATCAGCAGTAACGGCAGGGCCTGTTTATGCAGAATCATGCATTGTATAATATATACATACACTTCCATTGAACATTGTCTCTGGATTAGAGAACTTTCCTTCCAGCTATGTACACACGGCTCCTGCTGTCTGTCTCGGTGGGAGGCTTTGCAGGAAGGGCTGATGCAGTAACAGGGTAGCTGGCAGTTAGCCCTCGTTCACACCTGAACGTTTTGTAGCGCGTTCTACGCTCGACGAACGCTCTACAAAACGCTCAAACATCTAAATCCCATTGTATTCAATGGGTCTGGTTCACACCTTGGCGTATTTCAGCCCGTCCCTAACGCGCTACAAAACGGCCCACGCCTGAAAAGGTACATGTACTACTATGGGCCTTTTTGTTGCGCGTTTCCATTGGGATACAGCCAAGTAGCCCTCGGAAACGCGCGTAAAAAAACGAGTGACAGACGCGCATATGCAATACGCCCAGGTGTGAACCAGGGCTTAGTGGGATCCGACAATCCCAGAAGTGTTGGGATCGAATTACCTTTGCAAGGTTTGTAAATAAAAAAAGAAGTATCATGGAGAAGATGATGTATTATTTCTGCAGGGGCTCTGTATGATGGCCACACACATTACAATCTTGTTTAGGCATCCCATCAACTAGGTAGCATGAGGGGCTACCTAACTGAATAAAACATTTGATGGACTATACTGTACAAGTATTTGTAGATCTAATGATCACCATACATTGCTAGAAAATCAGCAGATTTCTTCATCTATGCTGAACATGTGTGGAGGAATCTCCGCTGTTGTCTACTGTATTCGGGCAGCTGCTGCACCCGTGGCTGCATGGAAACCCGAACAGTGACTGCATCTGATAGGATTCAGTCACTGTTTGGCCAATCATTTTCCACTCGCAGTCAACCTTTGAATCCACTTTTGGTGCTGGCAGGGCCACCCACGGCTCAAACTTCTGTCAATTCAGCAGCCATCTGTGGCATTCTTTAACCTCTTGCCGTCCGCCCGTAGTAAAAAAACGGACGGATGGCACTGCTGCATTTACGATTGATCAGACTTACAGTCAGCTTTAGGGTGAATCCGCTTTCATAGATAACATGAATCCTCACTGCAAGGATTAGGTGCTTGTTTTGTCTAAGGAGCTAAAATAACAGTTATATTCACTCAATCCTCAGCAATGGCTGGCTCTTAGACTGCTCCCTTCAGCTTCCCTTCCCCTCCAGCAGGCTAAAGTCATGTGAGTCATCACGTCCAATACAGTGTATAGGATGTGAAGACACTGAGGGACATTCCATCGCTGGAGTGGAGGTGGAGAGAGGCTGAAGGGAACGGTCTAGGAGCCAGCCAGGATTGTGGTTCAGGTAAGTATATCTCTGTTATTCTAGTTCCCTAGGCAAAACTAGCACTTAACCCTTGCAGTGCAGGGGTTAGGCTTTTATTTACACAGAGTTCTTCTTTAACTATATGTCCCTTATCCACATGTTTTCAAAACCCTAACACAATATGAAATATAATGACCACGTGGATGGTTACCTGCAGAATTTCATCAAGACTGTGAATGACAGGAGGCAGGTAAAGATCTGACACGGTATCTCCTGGTTTAATGCTGTAACCTCCTTCCTCATATCTTAAAGCAAGAACATAACAGAAGCTGGGAGCAGGCAGAGCACAGGGAATCTGAGAGACAAAAGAACATCTATCAATATCAATGCAAATAGCATGTCATAAGAAAGAAGACAAACTAAACACATTGGGGGGAATTTATAAAAACTGGAGCAGACAGAATCTGGAGCAGTTGAACCGTGGCAACCAATCAGCTTCTCTCTTCAGTTTGCTCAGTTAAGATTTGAAAATGAAAGAGAGAAGCGGATTGGTTGCCATGGTACAGCTGCTCCAGAATTTGTCTGCTCCAGTTTTGATCAATTCCCATCACTGTGTATAATTACATTGCAGGAAACCTGTGATGAGGGACATGAACGGTCTACAGTTCACTATACACGTTACAACCTAACTGTACAATCTTTGTACAACATCCTTTAGGGCTTATTCACACTGCTTAGAGCCAGCCCGTACAGATCTGTGTGGCGTGCAGGGCCGTATCGGGGTGCTCCCAGGAAGAACATGCGCTGTGTGTGATTGTACGCAGCAGCCTTTTCTTCTCTATGGGAGTATGCAGCTGTACGTTCCCCCGAACTGCACATGCGTGCAGGTGCTGGTATACGTGGATGGATCCTGTCTGTGTCCAGGCATGAACACCCGCACGCATGTGCAGTTCGGGTTAGCGTACGGCTGCGTACTCCCATAGGGAGGAAAAGGCTGCTGCGTACAATCACAAGTGAGGCCTTAGATGTAGCAAAACTATGTACTATGAGGGCCTACCTAAACTATACAATCACTTTGTATCCATTTAGGAAGGCCCTTGTACTACATAGTTGCTGGTAGATCTAAAGGAGATTGTACAATCAGATAGTAGTGTGTATGTTGAACTTTACACTGCTGTTGCCTGGCTGTTTCTGGAAAAGGAACGATGGAAATATGAGTGGAGTGTACACTTAGGATGCTAAGGACAGGATAGCTTTGGTGTCCTTCAGTGGGATTCCAGAAGAGGAAGTCAACTGTGATCACATGTTTAAGATAATTTAGTTATGGAAAGCTTTTGACATGTAAAACATCAATCAATATTTGTCATTATACATTTATAAAAGACAGCTCACAGGTTAAGATTATTGATCACTGAGATTGAAGATGGAATGTTTATTTAAAATCCTGTCAGATTCTACATACTGCAAGCACTGTAACCTTCTCTAGCTGTCACATGAAATAAATCAGGCTATGGTTTATGTGCACAGACATCAAGGCTACATGTCAGAAGATGACTAACTCTCAGCCTTGCACTCCCCACAAATATTTCCATTCTGTTACCTCCATGTGAACGTCAAAATTCACAATGTGAGCTTTATCAAATGCCAGCTTACACAAACAGACACAATGAAGCAGCACATGGGATAGGTTTCACAAGCTGTAGCCTGCAATAGGGGCAACATGTCTACTTTTACATGTACGTTCTGAAGTGAAACATCCCTGAGTGTTCCATTTCCTGAAACATGGAACCCGAACACATAGAGCCGACTCTCTCCAGAAAGGTGGCCGAAATAACGTTTTAAGTATGAATGTTTGAATTGCTTTTATTCCATGTACAAAAATGACCAAATAAAAGTTGAAACTTCCATAGAGATATTGCTACGTTTAGAGCACACCAGTAACCCTATATACAGTGTACCATAAGCCCTTATGGCTTGTTCACACTAAATGCGGACCAGATCTGCATGAGTTTCTGCACACGCACTGTGGTGTGTTTTGCCGCATTTTTTTTCTGCATGCGTTCCAGATGCTTCTCCTCCTCCCTTCTTCACACTAGCTTGGGGAACGGGCTGGGGGCAGAGGCTTAGACAGGCTGGGGGTGGGGCGATGACTGGATATGGGCAGGGCTTCGTCGGGCACAATTGTGTCACTACAATCAACAGAGCCGACGTGGCTTCGTCGGGCACAATTGTGTCACTACAATCAACAGAGCCGACGTTTCAGGGCCGCACAGGATCCCTTCTTCAAGGCAGTAAAATTGTGACAATTTTACTGCCTTGAAGAAGGGACCCTGTGCGGCCCCTAAAACGGTTCCATCCGTGATAGTCATTGCGAGCACCACCGTTCTTATTTGGCCAGGACTGCTGTAAGGTGTGCGGAGAAGAACCCCGCCACCGTAAAATATGTGAGCACATCACTGCTGTCATTCTGCACATTATGTCACTTATAACATTTTAACCACGAAAACAATACCAACATGAGTCATGAACTTAGACAAAGCTCTAATTATTGTGACTGCCATAAATGAGCTCTGACCAATCTCATTGAGAAAAAGAAAATATCACATAACATAACCCATCCTGTATTAATGAAAATAGAAAAGTGTCACTCATTAATCCAGGTAAAACTCTACACAGAATCTTTATGGGCTCTTATTTTGTTTTCTTTTTCAACTTTGCAAAAATAATTTCACATTCAAATTCTCTTGCTGACTGCTCAAAACAAACTCAGCAGAAACTAATTTTAGGATTTAATTTAATCTTAACCTCACTTTTAAATATTACTAAAGAGATATCTACTTACAGTAACTCACTCAAAATTATTGCAAACACCCTCAAAACATGTCCTAGATATATATATCATAGGATTTAATGTAAACTGTGAACATGAGGAAGTAAACGTGGAATCAAATTAATTTACCACCAGGGTGTAAGTAGCTTTAGACGAGCCCTCTGGGTGTAAATTAGGAGCACATAGTTAAAGATTAGGCCAGCTACTCAAATCTCTAGTTTACAGAAATGTAATCCCTAGAGTAAACTGAAACAGAGAATTAGGTAATTGTTCTTTAATTACAGCATTGCTTGTTTCCATACAGTCCTATTAGGAAAATAATCATTTAGTAATCATCGTTTTATAATCCACTAATCACTTCTAAACAAATCAATAACCACTTTACAGAGTAGAGCAGAGAATACACGTATTCATATGACAATTCTATTTACCTAGCCCTGTGCACTCAAGTGTATTCATTCTAGAACACTGCCAGCTGCTTACAGCAAATGTACAACAGGTGGTCAGTTTTTACAGAGCACCTATGGCTTAAAGGAGAAGTATTGAGAGAGTAAAATGTACTCTTCCCAATACTTAGAGCCAGTGTGTGACACGGGCAGCTTTCACACGCCGGCTCTATAGTTCGAGAACACAGCAATTGTGTGAGCGCTGATCACTTAGCTCAAGATCTCCTCCCTGCATTCATCGCTCCTCGCAGGGATTCCCCACTCCGCTCCTCCAGTCCGCTCTAGAGGGACAGACAGGGGAAGGGGCGGGCACAGCTGGCTCAGGCTTTAAAGAGGCAGAGCCAGCTGTCCATTGGGCAGCAGGGTGGATCCGACATTATTTTTAGGATCCTTCCAAGCTGCAGTGTGGCTCTGCAATGTCAGCATATAGTGGGCACTAGCCTGCTATATGCTGAGTTTGAGTCACAGGAGGACATTAGTAAATGTCCCCCTGTGACCCAATAGAGAAGTAAAGCCAAAAAAAGGTTTGGCTTCAGTTCCCTTTTAAGATTCCCATACTGAAAAACTGCTCATCCGTTCTCTAATCACACCCTGAAATGGCTCCTGGACAAGGTTGTAAGCCCAACTACAGGATGGCAACCACGGCTGAGGCCCCCCCCCCCACTTCATGATGCACATCCAGGAACAGATCCTTGACACTCTGAGCTCACAGGAAATGAGTTAAATGAAACTGGGCCAAACTGAACCTGGAAGAGGACAATGCTGGATTGCAGAGCTGGGAATCTGCAGGGGAAGGGGGCAATGTCACAGAGGGGGTAATATTGCAGCTAGAGATCCTTTTGTTTTCTTTTTTTTTTTATTTGGCTGTGGAGTTTTTTCCCCCCCATTTAGAACAGAACCTGGAGTTGTGCGTTTACTGCAGTGTAGTCTGCAGTAGTTAAGGAACTGACTTTGCTATCTGACTGGGTTACTGGGCTAACAAGACTGGCAGACCAGAATTACAAATCTTTTGGCAGGTTAAACCATTCACATAAAGGTATTCCAACTTTACATTTAGCTGACTGGAGTGCAGCTTTAAATGGCTGAAACCCATCAATTCACTTGGAACAGAGCCCCCTCATACCCAAGTCCTCGTTCACACCAGGGTGTTTGTAGCTCATATTTTTCAGCGCTGGAAAAAGTGCATGAGCTTCTTTTTTGGGCAGATCAGCGTGATTAGAAATAGGAAAAATGGTCACAAGGCGCTGATCTCCCCAAAAAGAGGCACATACTTACAGGCTTGTGCGGAGCTTTTCTGTGCTGACAAATACAAGCAACAAATGCCGGCGGTATGAACGGTGACTAAAGCTGGCCATACACTTTACAACCATCGCACGACTTGAGTCGTACGATGGTTGTAAAGTAATTAGAAGCTTGTACGATCTGCCCATCTTGGACAGGCAGATCATCGAAAGCCCGCCCCGCGGAAGGTCTGGCTTCCGATGACTCCAATGCTGCACAGGCACTAACGCCACTAACCTGCCGACAATCGCACAATTCTCGGCGGGTTTTCGAGCCTGCTCGGGAGACAAAAGACATGCAACCATACAGTAGAAACGGTCGCACGCCTTCCACACACCTGCTTATTATCGTACGATAGCGGGATTTCCCATGATTATCGTACGATAATCGGCATATGCTTTTAGATTCAACTGTCCTATGTCCATTTATTTTTCAGAGAATAGACTTTCTTTCAGCAAATAGATGCTCCTTCCGTGTACATGCATTTATACATGTTTTGGTGCATTTAGAAGTTAAAGTTGTTTCCTGGACACACCTGACTTCTATTTTTTCTAAACGCAGCTAAACTAACTGCATCTAAACGCAAAATGTGAATGGATCCATTGGAAATCATTAGATGCATTTACATGCATCTGCTTACCATCTTGTCTTGAAATGTATTGTGATTATATTGTCTTCCTTATATTGTAAAGCGCATGCGCAAACTGTTGGCGCTATATTACTCCTGTATAATAATAATAATAATAATATGTGTTTAGAAAACCATTAAAAATGCATATAAAAGCGTGTGAATGGGAC